TAGCGAAAGACCTAATATTAATGGTCGTGTAAAAGCTACAAAATCATCAATGTTCGGGCTGGCACGATGCACGCATTGAGTAGTAGCCGCGCAAACACGAAAGCGAGGCTCGCACTGACTGCACGGTTACTATTCCAATATGGCGTCGGGCTCGGACGCTCTCGTTCGGGCCGACCAATTACGAACAGTATCTACACCTGAGTGAGTGAGTGAGTGAGTGAGTGAGTGAGTGAGTGAGTGAGTGAGTGACACATTTGCATATCGCAGTCCCCGCAACAAACACGTTTGTACGCTTCGCGTATCCACGGGTTTAAAAAGGGACAAATGTCATTTGCATTTGAAAAGACTCCCCTCATTAGCCTCAGTTGCAAGCTAGTTCCAGTCCAATACCGAGAACACGAATATGGCCTATTGTGTCTACATACCCGGCAGCCGGCAAGTGTTTTTTAAATACTACGTACATACCCAGCAGTCTGAAATTATTCTAGAATTCCCACGGAAAAAATCATCCAATCCTTCTTAAAACTGTAGACCTTTGTTTAGAAATGCCAAGCGATTTCAATTATAATTTTGGCTTTGTAATTGAGGAAATTTTCGAGCTTGGGCATACTAGGAAATCTCGATGTTTCGACACTTAGAAAAATTTGTACTCTGACCCCGGTGTCAACTCTCATAGAATTTCTACAAAAATTGAAATTCGAACCCTGTGAGAGTATTCGATGTTTGTACAGAAATGCGAAGCGATTCTAAATAATGTTTTGCTTTTGTTGTGGACGAATTCCCTTAGCTTTGGTTTACTATATAAACCTCGACTCACGGGCACGGTTGTTTACAAAACTAGATACCCGGCAGTCAAAAATTCATGAATAATCAATACATTCAATATCCACAAAAATGATCATTGAAAACCTCCCGAGAGTAATTCATTACCGAAGCTAAGAGAATCACCTCCGCCGTCTCCGATAAGTCAGAATCGCTGCTCTCCTGATTAAAGTCAAATTCTACAGATGCGAGCTTGACATCTTATTATTTATGACATCTTATTATGGTAGCTTGACATCTTATTATTTACGCTTAACGAGCTTTGGGGAAGAAATAGACTGGGATTTCCCGTTTGTTGACAAGTATCGTCCCTAGAATCTGTGTTCCCGCTGACACGTCACAATCCAACTATACCCAGTTTCCCTCTTAACGCGGTTTTTGACCCAACCGGAAGTAAAATTTCACGTTTTCAAACGGCTAAAAAGCGGTGAAGGAAAATCGCTAGGGGGGAAAGATTTTTCGCTTTTCACATCAGAACCTGATGTAGAATCTAACAAGAAAATAATAAAAAATCTGTCATAGACACTTTAAGGTGCATGCCCTTTCTTAAAAAGCACATTACATTAGATTTACTTCAAACGGAAGAGAACAAGATTATACAAAAAAACAATTTTCAGAAAAAGTACTATTCAGTTTGACACAAGGAAGAAAAAAAGGCGGAGTCGGAGGCGGAGGTTAGGGGTCTTAAAGAGATTAAAACATCTGCTTCCTGTTTATGCAAGGAAAATCTATGTCACGACAATGGTCATCCCTACACTTGAATAGGCGAGAGTATCGTATGGGGTGACAAAAAGAACAAAGTTTTCATGGATTCTATTCATGTTCTACAAAATAAAGCAGCTAAGTTGGTCCTGGATAGGGCTCCGCATTTTTCTTCAACTGAAACACTTTCCGATCTAAACTGGATAAATTTATCAACCAGAAGACAAATAGCTACAAATGCAACGCTGCTTTTTTGTGTATAATTTGATAAATGACAACGACAGACACAATATGATTATCCGAGGTGTAGATTACCCTAGTCATAACACTAGCTCAAAAAACACTATTCGATCCATTACATCAAGTAGTAACTGGGGTTTGCTCAGATCAGTAAATATTGCTTTACCCGATTGGAATGCCCTGCCATGGACATAAAAAAAGCTTCCTTTTAATTCTTTTAGAATGTCGTTACTTGATAGATTTAAATGTTAAAAATGATTTTCAATTTTTACTTCCATTTTTTATTAGTACTTGGATTTGATTGTGATTAGTTTTTAATTTTTTACTCTATTTTACCTTAGTTCCCTGAAAACCACGCAATGTGACAGGAGCTTCCTCCATAAAGATGAAATTATGTTTCGTGCCTTCGTAATAGAAAAAATAATATTAACCAACGTGCTTACGCGCAAGAACATTAATAATTGACAATTATTGGACGAGGTTAAGAAAAATATCGTGATTTGTCAGTGGCGAGCAGATCAATTATTTGCCAAAGCCGAAGGTTGAGGAAAATAATTGATCTGCGAGACATTGACAAATAACGATATTTTGCGATAACCGAGTTCAAGAATTGTTTTATCATTCGATCACCAGGTTTGTGTCCATATTTCCATCACTCTCTGACAGCTCAGGGAAGCAATCTGCCATTTTTCAATCGAGAACGTGGTTTGAATTACGCATGAGCAGAATATTCTTTGCAGCAAAACACGTTTAGACAGTACTACGCATGAGCAGACCATTATTTGTAGGCAGTTATTTGCA